GGGTAGTTCGGAAGTTTAATTTTTCTGCTATTGAATTGATTGATCTGCAATATGTTCTTCATCCCACAATCTGCAGTATAAAACAAGTTACTCAGGGCGATCGCGGATTCAATTGCACGCACTGTTGAGTGCGCATTCCGTGTTTCCGCACAAGCGGATCAGGCGATGGCTGACGAGGGGTGAGGTGGGTATAGAAGAGCCTATCGGGAACCCTAAGGAACTCAGATGGGTATGTTCAGCCCCGTGCTCCTTGAAACTGGAGAACTGTGGTTTCATTTCCTCCAATCATGAACGACTCTGCCTAGTTCCAGTCATTTAGAAATTTTCACTCATCGCAGCAGTAATCAGCCAAATTGTCCCAGCTACTCCACTGCCCTGGTTGAGGTGGTAATAATGACTCGCAATGAGGCATGTAATCACACACAGTGGTCTTCGTTCAAAAAGGCCATTAAAGTCCAGCCATCCAGGTATCGTCGAAGTTTCCTCACTTCAGGCTTTCTTCCCGCTTCTCTTTCCGTTCCATGTCTGTTTGATCCAAATGCTTTTATTTGCCGAACCACGGGTGGCTTTTTTGATCGACAGCCGCCGGTTCCCAAAAGGGCCGAGCGTTACCTAAACTCAACGATCAACCTCGGCGCTTCCGAGGAAAGGTACGTGGAAGGCAACAGTCTTGAAATCTCTCACGTCAGCGAGCACATGGCTTGCAATGCATAAAGTTGCGGCTATTGGAATAGTTTCCTCAATGGTCTCTGAAAAGTGGATTGGCGAGCCACCTTAACTGGCCCAGTATCAACAGGGTTCCATCCCTGTTCGTGTGCAGCACGCATGCATAACATTGATCGACTATATATGTAGTGAGATGAGACTTAGCATTCTTAGCTGTCTAGTATTCACCACAGACTACTGGTAAGACATCAGGGGTATGGAGTAGGGAGTAAACAGTACTGGTAAATAGTGACGAGTCGTAACTTGGATTTGCCGTGGCATGAAACCCGAGAGTACTCCGTAGAACCCCTATCTGAGAATTGGTCTCCTTCCAAGTTTATGCCCTTCACCCTCGTTGAGGATGGCGGCACTCTCAACGTAGCGAGTTTCATATGTGTATAGGATAGTGATTTTAACTTTAGGGAGAATACATTGATCCTGGGAACAATCCTGAGGCAGTTGTCACACGTGGCTGGAGTGAGGGCTTCCCCCCCGCCGAGCTGGAAAGGTGGGGTCGTGGTTGTAGAATTGGCTTTGTTTGTGTAATCAATTGACTCCTCGGCTGATTCTCCCACCGAATGCAGGGTCTTCGATTGTGGTTCAGTCCTTCAAACAACATCTTACCTATTAATTCCGATTGCTAACCCCCTGGTGGGATACCCCTATTGCCTGAATGTTTCGTTTGTGAACACATACTATCGTTTGTTTCTACCCGCGCCCATACTTTCACAGACCCTACAATGGCTGCACCTCCCCGCCCACCGGTGATCCCCTTGATCATCAACGGTCAAGAGGAATGCACGGGCTCGACCTTCGACGTCATTAGCCCCTATACCAACCAGACCTGTTGGACAACTGCATCAGCCTCGGCTCAAGATGCCATCCGCGCCGTTGAGGCCGCAGAGGCCGCGTTTCCTTCTTGGTCGCAAACAAAACCCACAGTTCGGCGTGATCTCCTGCTAAAGGCAGCCGATATTCTGGAGAGCCGCCTCGAGCAGAATGCCGAATATATGCGAACTGAGATGGGCGCAGATGTGGGTGCGTCACAACATTTCATCGTTCCACTCGGGATCCGCATGTTGAGGGATATCGCGGGGCGCATCACTTCCATTTGTGGTAGCGTCCCCGTTGTCGAAGAGGAGGGCCAAAGTGCCATGATCTACAAGGAGCCCATGGGGGTGATCCTCGGGATCGTGCCCTGGTATGCCCGTCACCATTCCTACATGTGAATTATCGACTGACCTAGCAGGAATGCTCCATATGTGTTTGGAGTCCGTTCTGCAGCCTGTGCACTTGCGGCGGGCAACACGACTATCTTGAAATCCTCTGAGCTCTCTCCTTGCTCGTACTGGGCACTTGCGCGCGCTTTCCATGATTCAGGCCTGCCTGCTGGATGTCTGAATTTGGTATCATGCCGCCCCCAGGATGCCCCCGAAGTGGTTAACGCCATGATCGAGCACCCGGCCGTGCGCAAGATCAATTTCACCGGCAGCACGGCCGTAGGCAGAAAGATTGCGGGCGCTTGTGGTCAGAATCTCAAGCCATGCTTGATGGAGTTGGGAGGCAAGAACAGCGCCATCGTCTGTGCAGATGCTGATATCAAGACTGCTGTAAAGGGAGTTCTTGCGGGCGCTTATCTGAACGTATGTAGCTCGCCTTTACACCATATGCTACCGTATTCTCGCTTCCGATGACTGATTTTGCATAGTCTGGCCAAATCTGCATGGCAACTGATCGCATTCTCGTTCACTCCTCCATTGCACCCGTCTTCATCGAGGCGCTGAAGAAGGCACTCACATCCAGCGTAGACCCTGCGTCTCAGCCTCCGACTTTGGTGAACATGGCGTCAAAAGCACGGGTTAGCAATCTCGTCAAAGATGCTCTGGCAGGTGGAGCCCACTTGATTCACGGATCTGTAGACCACGACTCCGCTCAATCAGACAATGGCGTTCGGATGGCGCCTGTGCTCCTGGGTGGTGTCAATGAAAAGATGGCGGCTTGGCAAGAAGAGGCTTTTGCCTCCTTGGCAGCATGCATGATTGTTGAGAGCGATGAAGAGGCAATCAAGATCGCCAATGGTAGTGGCTATGGTTTGTCCGCGGCGGTCTTTACCGAAGATCTACGCAAGGGCCTGGCCATGGCCCGCAAGATCCAGTCAGGGTAAGCCATTATTCCTCTATCCGTCTGTGCCTTGAAAGAAATGCGAAAGTAGCTGATGTTTTGCAGTGCTGTCCATATCAACAGTATGACCATCCATGACGAAGCTGTCCTACCGCACGGTGGAGTTAAGAACAGTGGATGGGGCCGCTTTAATGCATCCCAGGGACTGGAGGAATTCCTGGTTACCAAGAGTGTGACGTGGATGGATTAATTGAAAGTTGCGGAGCATTCTTCTATATACAAACCGACGTCAATTTAGCATGATAATCTTATGACAGTTACTGCCTTAAGGGCATTAAATGCAGAATGAAAGGCCTGAGGGTTCTCTAGTATTTTCAGTATTTACCGGGATTCCAATGATTCTCCGTATATCCAACTGGAATAACCTTTTGCTAATCTGGAATGGACATCGATTGATCTTGTAAAGACTATTGATGCCTACTTACTCTGACTCAGATTTCAGTACTCCGATAGATGCAAGCTTGTCTTTTGACATGTGACTTAGGTTCTCTGGTTACTGACATACGAGGCGACCAACAAGTCTCACCGTACTAGTACTACCTGGGCGGCTTTCGATCATGTGCCACACGGCCAAAAAGGTTTGTGTTGTGAACCTCAAGCTTGTCTCCATCACTTGAATTCCAGCATCCAAACATTGGCGAATACAGCGCCGAACGGATATTATTATAGTACGAGGACGATGGCATTTTCACCGTCTGTCTTGCTGACATTACTGATTCATATATGACTTATCAATGAATGATTCGTACTTCTTCGCGTTTTGCATATCTGAAACCGTGTCATCGGCATCCTCTACCGTTGGTCAGGAGAGTAAAGTGAGAACTCTATTCAGTCATCGTCACATAGGTACACTAAAGCTAGCTCCAATCACCTTCGTTGAGTAACCACAAGGCTAACATCAAGAGCAATCCAGTGCAATCGGAATTACCACACGTCAGTCGCTACTGTGCCGCCTAGGAAAAGCTCACTGTCAAAAACGCATATCCGTTACCTATCACACCCTTGTGGGATGTCCCACAGTGCTGGAAAATGCCACGAAACAGTCCACGTACCAGACACTTGCCGGCAGCGACTACAACCTTATTGCGGCAGCTACAAAGCGTTTTGTGACATCAGGAACGTTCTATTCAGGTCCCTTTCGAACAGTGGGTGATATGCAATGTAGCATATCACATCGTGAAAGTGCCGCGCAAAAGCTGCATTATCGTGCTACGTAGATGAGTTACACAACTGGCCTGGAGTTTCATCCGACCCGATATGTTACCTTGAGAACTGCATCTGTGTCGTCTCGCCCTGAAAGCACAGTGAGTGAGTAATCAGCCTGCAATCTCTGGATGCGAGACAGACAAGTAATTTTAATCCATAGTTTCTCAAACTCATGATGCTAACGTCATATCGCCTAGGGTACTTCCCTATAAATATAACCACATGCACACTGCATGCTAGGTCGCGACAATTCCTACTCATATGCTGTGTGTAGTGACAAAGCTCGACGCCCAACCATAATCCCATATACCCCCTGAGAATCCAAAAAGGTCACACAATTAGTAGTACAAGTTCTGGATTGCAGAATATGGTTGCTGCCGATAATGGTATATTTCTCTGAAGCAAATTTAGCCAGAAACACAGAGAGGTTTTCCCTAGATTGTCACATCATCAACTCTACTCAATGACGAAGGATATGCAAGCATCACATACAACCAGTGGAGACGATGAGAGAAATTATTTCACGTCGGGAAAGGAGATTCCCCAGTCAACATTTCCTGGCCTTGATGGAGATGACCCGGTTGCTCTATATGGAGAACGCACATCGAATGTGGACTTGCCAGACGTCTCGCGTCCTAAGCCTTCGGACAATGAACCGTCAGATTCACCGACCCCAATTGCGATAGTAGGTTTGGCAATGAGGCTCCCTTGGGGCGTTCGCACAGACGATCAGTTTTGGGATTGTTTGATGAAGAAAGAAGACGGCCTCTGTGAGGTGCCGATGAGCAGATATAACATCGATTCATATTATCATCCGACGAGAGAGCGCTCCACTCGAACAAAGTATGGTTATTTCCTGCAAGAAGACTCGGCCTATTTCGACGCCAAATTCTTCTCCGTGCGAGACCATGAAGCAATTCGAATGGAACCGCAACAGCGGCTCCTCCTGGAGCTGGTTTGGGAATGCTTCGGGAGCGCGGGAGAAACAGACTGGGAAGGTAAAGATATCGGCTGCTTTGTTGGTGTTTTTGGAGAAGACTGGTTAGGTCTTGCTCATAGAGATCCACAGACTGTCGACAGATATCATGCTCTGGGCACGGGCGATTATGTTCTGGCAAACTGTGTTTCGTACAGATATGACTTTCGAGGTCCCAGGTACGTGATAAAATCAGACCCAAGCTATCTGGAATCAACGAGTAACTGCTGCCTTTGTATTCAGCATGACCATCAAAGCTGCCTGTTCATCCTCCCTGACTGCACTTCATGAAGCATGCCAGGCACTAGCCTCTGGAGCTTGTTCATCGGCCATAGTTGCTGGAAGTAATCTTATCATGTCGCCAACCATGACAACAAGCCTATCGGATAATATGGTGTTGTCCCCAAGTGGTGTTTGTCGGACGTTCGACGCCAAAGCTGACGGCTATGGCCGAGGTGAAGCGATCAATGTGCTGTACATAAAGCGCCTAAGCAGTGCAAAGCAGGCAAATGACCCTATAAGGGCAGTCATTCGATCAACTGCTGTGAACTATGATGGGAAAACAGCAAATATATCTGCCCCATCCGTTCAGTCCCAAGAGAGTCTTATTCGAAATGCATATCAAAAGGCTGGGTTCAACGATCTTTCGGTTACTGCCTTCTTTGAGTGTCATGGTACTGGAACGGTAGCAGACGATGCAGCCGAGACAACAGCAATTGACAATTGCTTCAAGCCGGATGGGGTCATTATTGGCGCGGTGAGCATCCCATACTTACCTGCAAGCTGAAATGCTGAGCAAAACAGCTTAAACCCAACTTTGGCCATTCAGAGGGTGCATCGGGTATCACGAGTCTCATCAAAGCTATCCTGTCACTCGAACGCTCAACAATCCCACCAAATGTACATTTGGACACTTCAAATCCTCACATCCTAGAATCCAGTTTAACCGTCCCTTTAGAGCCCATGAAATGGCCGCCGATCGACGCCAAAGGGTTAGTATCAATGGGTTCGGCATAGGTGGTGCAAACGCCCATGTCATATTGGATTCTGCAGCGGATGTCTGTGGCAACTTCCAGGATTCGCAAACTTCCGAGTCAGTAACCGGAGTGAAGCTGCTTGTGGTCTCAGCTCAAGGCTCAAAGAGTCTGGAGAGTCGCATTAAGCAGGTGTGTGACTATGCAAATAGATTCCCTGATCAACTGTGTAATCTTTCGTTCACTCTGGGAGTAAGAAGACAGCATTTGTCTCACCGAGCATTCTGTGTGGTTTCCTCACAAACCCCCTTACGATCTTCGATGTTTCAGAAATCCTGCACTCAAGTCTCACCTCAGCTTTCATTCGTTTTTACTGGTCAAGGATCCCAGTGGGCGGGTATGGGGAAAGGACTATTGGAGAAATATCCTTGTTTTCAGGAAGACATCTTAAGGCTTGACAGAGCTCTCAAAGGTCTTGGGGATCCACCATCATGGTCTCTTCAGGGTGAGTCGGGAGATCTCTCTAGATTGGTAAACACGGACTGTTTACTAACAGGCATTATAGAGGAGCTGTGCCGGACAAGCGACTCACGCGTTGATGAAGCGGAAGTCTGTCAGCCACTCTGTACTGCCATTCAGATAGGACTTGTCAACCTTCTTGCGTCCTGGGGAGTGCAGCCAGCTGCTGTAGTTGGACACTCCAGCGGTGAAATTGCAGCTGCTTATGCAGCAGGCGCTATCTCGGAGAAGTCGGCTATAATACTCGCATATTATCGCGGCAAGCTGGCCAAACAACAAATGGGTCTGGGAGAAATGGCAAGTATCGGCCTCTCTAGCGAAGAGGTAACTTCATATCTCGAAGACGGAGTGGTAATCGCATGCAGGAATAGTCCTCAAAGTGTCACTCTATCCGGTGAAACAAGTAAAATCGACATTATAGTGGAGAGGATTAGAAATGATATTCCTGATATCTTTTGCAGAAAGCTTGGGCTCAAGATCGCATATCACTCGCGTGAGTCACCAGTATATCGCAACAAAGGGAATTGGTATTTACTTGGCATCAGAACAAATGAAGTGCCTGGGGCCCCTTTATGAGGCCTCTATAACAGGTCACTTGCAAATAAACTTTCATATGCTGCCGATGCTGTCCAGTGTCACTAAGGCTATGGTGATGGACCCTCAGGAGCTTGGCGCGGCCTACTGGAGAAGGAACCTTGAGTCTCCCGTTCTTTTTAATGATGCAGTGAGCAATCTGCTAAAGGAAGACAAGGCCCATATACTACTCGAAATAAGTCCCCATTCTGCATTGTCAGGTCCTCTAAAGCAGATATTTCGTAGCCACAGCCTGAAGCATGGCCCACTCTATATTCCCACCTTGAAACGCTGCGATGATACTAGCTTCGATGCTAGATGTGAAGTTCAGCTCTTGTCCGCGCTAGGCTTGATCCACAGCAACGGGGCCATTGTTGACCTGATGTCAGTGAACGGTAGGGGGCAAGTCGTGACAGACCTCCCGCCGTATCCCTGGCAACATGGTACACGATACTGGAATGAAAGCCGTTTGGTGAGAGACTGGAGGTTGAGCAGTATGCCACCTCATGAACTGCTCGGCTCACGGTGTCCCGAGTCTACAGATCTTGAACCTTCGTGGCGGAACATCGTTGGCACTGGGAGCAACCCATGGCTTGCTGACCATATCCTCCGTGGTCATGTAGTGTTTCCTGCAGCTGGTTACATCGCTATGGCAGGTGAAGCAGTCCGGCAGCTCAACCCAGGCACTGAGGGGTTTACTGCGAAGAACGTTCTATTCAAGAGCCCTCTGGTCATAGATGAGACGGGAAGCGTGGAGATTATCACGTCTCTCAATCCAGTTGCCTTCAATGATGTGATGAATTCAGAATGGTACTCTTTTGTAATAGCAAGCCACGATGGCAGTGTTTGGACGGAGGTCTGCAGCGGTCAAGTCCAGGCAGGAGTCGAGGATGAGCCTTCCCATATTAAAATCCCACGTTATGCGCGCCAAGTTTCTCCTGAAAAATGGTATGGGGCTCTGTCAGATCTTGGGCTCTCTTATGGTCCCCAGTTTCGCGGTTTACAGAATATTTCTGCCGACCCGTTAGGTGGAAGAGCCTCAGCCAGTGTGAACCTAGTGAAGCAATATGAGAGCCATTACTTTGTCCACCCAACTATGCTTGATCAATGTCTTCAGCTCATGAGCGTCGCAGGTGCAGCGGGACTTCGCCGATGCATTATCAAGAGTGCCATTCCCTCTTCCATTGAGCACCTGCTCGTCAGGAGCGTTGGCGAATACATGGACGTTAATGTGGAAGTCAAACAGGAAACTGGTAACTACCTAGCAGGGGATGCAACTGCTATGTTCGAAGACAAAGTCGTACTTTCCATGAAGGTAGAGGATGAAGTTTTGAAGGGCTTAGAAATATGTATCATGCGATCCCGTGATTCGATCGCCACTGATCCAGGAACTCAGACATCATCATCCGTCATAATTAGACTTAGGTATACCAGACCACTTTCTGATACATCGGTCCGTCTTTTATGGCATAGTCAAGACGTTCGATTTGCACCTTACGCAAACATCGATTTATCCTCTAAGCAGCAACCCAGTGACGCAAGTAGCAACATCCTTAGAGATCTAACCCTCCGAGCAGACAGAGACCCAAGTATCATGCTCACAGAAGAATCTCGCAGCCTTATTATACAGGAAACCGTTCGCTTGGTTTCCTCGTCCCTCATCGGATCGCAAGATCTCGACGAAGGACAGAAATGGGAGATTCCGATTGATTCCCTTGCATCACTCGAAATCAAGAGCTGGGTGCGGCGGAATATGGATCTCGATGTCAGTGTGGCTGAGATTGCTAAATCACGAACGGTTGGAGGGCTGGCGCTTATGACTGCAGATCGCTTGGTAGGGCATTACAAGGCTAAGCTTGAAAATCCGAGTAGTGGTGTGCTTGATGAAGGGACTGCTGTCCCTTCATCAAGCGAGGTGGTGGACTAGTAAATAGCTGTTGAGGCTATGGAACAAATTGTATTGTCGTCGAATTTCTATATGCTTCTTCGGTGCAATGTTCTCTAGATTGTTATAGTCTAAATGGCTACTACTACGCTATCATACAATTAGCTTTACGATGCTAAATTAATTAGACCATTTTAGTCCATATATTACACTGTGCAAAAGCAACTCCGAAAAAACATACACAACTTTTCGGTGTATCTAATTGCCAATAATAACCCCGAGAGTATCTTCATGCTCAGAGCTTACTGAGTCGTTCGGGGTATCTATTCCCGAAACCTCACTCTCTCAATTTCTCCCTCTCGCCCGTCCGTCAACCCCGTACTGACCAGTTACATACATACATACATACATACGACGCTAAAACAAATCTCAGATTTAATATGTTTTAAGCAGTAGTAGTGAGATTTAGCCAAGTAGACAGCTAAACAAGATGCATGCAGAATGCCACTTCCTAACAAAATAAAAGAAAGAAGGGACGGCAATCGAACCTTCCCAAAACGGCAAGTTCAATAAACGACGGGATCTACGTCATTACGTAGTTGAGTCGTCGGAATTCAATCACGGGATGCTGATTGGTGGGAATGCGAGGTTGGTGGTCAATTGCCGGGGGGGTCAGGTGACGGGAAGAGGATCGGTTGTTGGATTGGTATGTATGGAGTACTCTGTATGTATGTTTGTATTCTATATGTGTTGTATGCTGAGGCTTGTTCTTAGTATACTTATGTAGCATTATGTTCTTCAGGGGTTATGCTGAGTGAGTAATGGGGTGGTGAGTTGGGGATTATGGGCTGATCTGGGATCATGGTCGGTGGTGTGGTGATGGTAGATGGTAGATGGGGTCTGGTCTGGGTCTCGGTCCGAGGTAAATATTCAAGGCAGGCACCTGGGGTAACATTGCATTCTTCAGGGTGTCTACCCTGTCTTTGTTTGTATGGATATGTGTATGTATGTTATGTATGGAGTATTTTTTTATTATTGGATAGGGTGTATTGAATAGTAGATAGATAATATGGACTTTGTTGATGGTAGGTATGTTTATTGTTGTGGTGAGTATATATATTGTGAGACCAAGAAACTAATATCTTCAAGGGAGGAGCTACATTCATTTCACTACATAGATAATATTTCAATCATGGATTTACCATCATCTCAAAATTGAGACGAAATCTGAATCCGGGGTGAGAGTTTAAATCCAAGAGCATGACGTGCCGCGCTGACTTAAGCCTACAATTTCATTTGCTGAGAAGGTTACTTCTGGATTTCCAGGCATGTGAAAGTCAGGGAGAGTTCTAGTTTCTTTTTGCCATCAAAGTACTAGTAAGTAAGAGTATGTCATGGGAAGAACACCGCAGGGGTCAGCTTGCAGCTCCTGGTGACGGACAACTTCTGCATGTGATGGTCCCTGGAAACTTACTAGTATTATGTCAAAGACAGGGGAGGAGATCGAATGTCTGTCTACTGTCTACTTATTGTAGTATACTAGAACCCGTCATTCAGTCAATCATAAAGCACAGGCCAGACAGACAGACAGACAGACAAGAGAAAGGACCCATCGAATCCACTTTAGACATTTTCATGAGTCCTCAAAAAGTAGAAGGAACATTACCGGACCGGAAAAGGGAGAGTAGAAGATAGAAGATAAGAGGAGGCGGGGGGGTCATAGAACGGTAATCGTACGGTACATACCAAGTTGGAAATTGAATGGGGGAAAGAAAGAAAGATGAGCCTCGGCCGAGTGAGCAACTCGTCTCTCCCCCGTCGGCTTCTGAATGCCTGGCTCTCTCTCTTTCTTCCCCCGGATCTCTTGCTGCTTAAAGATCTACTTGTTCCTACCTGCTTTTTGACCCTTTAAACTCCTCTTCTCTCATCTCTTTTCTTTCCCCCATTCATCTTCTGATTTTCTCTTTCCTCACCCTCTCCTCCTACATCTTCTTCTCACAACCATGGCAACCGCCCCTAGAGTAATTGTTGTTGGCGGTGGATGTGAGTTGATCTTCACCGCCAGGAAATAGCTTTCCCCGCATTGCTGACCATTGCCTCGTCTCTCAGTGTCCGGGCTTAGTGCCGCCCACACCGTCTACCTTAACGGTGGAAATGTTCTCGTTCTAGACAAGCAGGGTATGTTTATACCCCCCAGATTCCTGCGATAATTGCAGTCGCATTATTGTTATTTATATAAGGACCTGGGATCTGACCCAAACAGCCTTCTTTGGTGGCAACTCCACCAAGGCCACTTCCGGCATTAACGGCGCCTTGACGCGCACCCAGGTCGACTTGGGCATCGCCGACAGCGTCAAGCAATTCTACGATGATACCCTCAAATCGGCCAGAGATAAGGCTCGTCCCGAGCTCATCAAGGTCCTCACATACAAGTCCGCCGCTGCCGTCGAGTGGTTGCAGGATGTTTTCAACCTCGATCTCACCCTTGTTTCCCGGCTAGGGTAAGTATTGCGCTTTCCTTGTTCATCTAACCTTTGGTCGCGCAACCCATGCTAATTTATGCAGCGGTCACTCCCAGCCCCGTACGCATCGTGGCCACGATGCCAAGTTCCCCGGAATGGCCATCACATACGCCCTCATGCAGCGGTTAGAAGAGCTCACCGAGGCTGAGCCCGACCGTGTTCAGATCATCAAGAAGGCCCGTGTGACCTCCATCAACAAGTCCGGGAACAATGTCACCGGTGTTACCTACGAGTACGATGGCGAGACGCATACTGCTGAGGGTGTGGTCGTTCTGGCCACTGGTGGTTACGCTGCTGACTTCGGTGATGGCTCGCTCCTGAAGCAGCACCGCCCCGACACCTTCGGTCTGTCCAGCACCAACGGCACCCACGCCACTGGTGATGGTCAGAAGATGCTGATGGAGATCGGTGCCAACGGCATCGACATGGACAAGGTTCAGGTGCACCCCACAGGTCTTGTCGACCCCAAGGACCCCACCGCCAAGTTCAAGTTCCTGGCTGCTGAAGCCCTGCGTGGTGAGGGTGGTCTCCTCCTCAACTCGGACGGCCAGCGGTTCTCCGATGAACTGGGTCACCGTGACTATGTCTCGGGACAGATGTGGAAGGAGAAGGAGAAGGGCAAGTGGCCCATCCGCCTCATCCTCAACAGCAAGGCATCCAATGTCCTGGACTTCCACACCCGCCACTACTCCGGCCGTGGTCTGATGAAGAAGATGACCGGCAAGGAGCTTGCCAAGGAGATCGGCTGCGGCGAGGCTGCCCTCAAGAAGACTTTCGACGACTACAACCTGATCGCCGAGGGCAAGAAGAAGGACCCTTGGAACAAGCGTTTCTTCCACAACCTGCCCTTCAGCATCGATGACGACTTCCACGTCGCTCTGATGGAGCCTGTCCTGCACTTCACCATGGGTGGTATTGAGATCAACGAGCACGCCCAGGTTCTCAACTCCGAGAAGGAGGCCTTCGACGGCCTCTACGCCTGTGGTGAGCTGGCTGGTGGTGTCCACGGTGCCAACCGTCTGGGTGGTTCTTCTCTGCTGGGCTGTGTCGTGTACGGTCGCGTTGCAGGTGACAGCGCTAGCCAATACCTCTTCCAGAAGCTGCTTTCCGGCGGTGCCTCCACGGCCGCCCAGCGTCTGGGCCAGATCTCCCTGCACATCGACCCATCCACCCCCGGAAAGATCTCCGTCGAATGGGGCGGCTCCGGTGCCGCTGGTGGCCAGGTCGCTGCCGGTGCTGGAACCCCCGCTGCCGCGGCCCAGGGCGCCAAGTCGGCTGCCACCCCTGCCGGTGCCGCTGAGACAGCCAAACCCAAGGAGCCCGCCAAGTTCAGCATTCCCGAGAAGGAATATTCGATGGAGGAGATTGCCAAGCACAACAAGAAGGACGACCTGTGGATTGTCGTCAAGGGTGTCGTGCTGGACGTGACCAACTGGCTCGACGAGCACCCCGGTGGAGCTAACGCTCTCTTCAACTTCATGGGCCGCGATGCCACAGAAGGTATGTTTTCCACAACTTTTTTCCATCCCCATCACCGAATCATATATACTAACTTCACTCCCCTATTACAGAGTTCGCCATGCTCCACGACGACGAGGTCATTCCCAAGTACGCTGGTCACATTGTGATCGGCCGTGTCAAGGGCCAGACCCCTAGCCTTGAGCTGTAAAACATTTCCATGAAAATTAGAATTGGAGATATACACGTTGGAGAAAGAGAAAGTAACCCGGAAGAGATCACATACCCATTTTTGTCTTTTATTTATTTGTTGAGCATGTTCATGTCCACACGCCCTTGGTGATGATGAATAGTTTTCGTTGATTTTCCAGGAGTCACTCTGTCTTTAGTATGTAAGATACAATCTTATTCAATTGTTCTTAGACAGTCACTAGCCACTAGCCGATATTGTAAGACATTGATAATGAGAGTAGCACATAACTAGTAAATAGTAGCTGCAACGATACCAGTAATATTAGTATATTTTCGGAACCGGTGAAGATAGAATGGAACATGTGTGTATATGTATATATATCCTAGCGGCAGGGATCCATTTACCCGATCCGATCATTATAATACAATACATCAATCAACATATATGAATAAGCCGGGAGTACTAGTCCTCGGCAAATCCGGGTCATCATTGCTGCATGTGCCTCAAGATCATCTTCAGACGTCGCACGGCAGGCCCCTCCTCCGTGCTTCCGGACTCCTTATTGGATTCCAGTTCCTTGGCCGCAGCCTCTAGCGTAGGGCGTAGGTAGCCCCAGACTTCGTCTTGGTATCGGTCCTCGACACTCAGCCAGTCCGCTGCGCCGGGGAGACCCGTCAGCACGGTGTCTCGCAGGGTGGCTACGTCGGAATGACTTTGTGATGGGAGGGTGTCTAGAAAGTCGCCAATGTCTGGGACTAGACTGCGGGATGTCAATGTGTTATTGCCGGACGATGTCGGAGGCGTGAGACGGCGGAAGGACTCGATCATTTGTTTTTCTTCGGCCGTGAGTTGCATTGGGAGCAGCTCTG